TCAAGAACTTGAAAAAGGTAGAGATCTCATGATGAAAATGTTAGGTTATATATTGGGGTTTGATTAAAGATAGAAATTGATTATAATTGGACAACTAATTTATTATATTAATCATCACGCTTTGTAGGAAGCAATGGATATCAACCTCAAAGATGAGGTATTTATAAGCTGTAATTTTGGATCTTTGAATCACATTGTCTCTTACCTTTTCAAATCAATGGTTTCATTTTTTTATAGTATTGACAAATTGAAGTGATGTATTATTAATATATCATATAATATATATAATATATAAATAATTTATTAATGTTAAAAATCTTAACATTTAATACATGTATCTGAATAATTTAAATATAATAAAGATTATACCTAAATTATCAAATAAAAAACCAACTGACACAAATTACAGTATATTGATTGTGAGTTTTGTTAAATCAAACAATGTCAAACTTCTGATCTTATTTGGAAACCCTGACCTGGAATCTTTGATGTTTCCCTCAATAGAAAAGGATACTATCATTTGTTTATTATTCAAATTATTCATTTTATTATTCAAATTATTCATTTTATTATTATTCAAATTATTTGAATTATTCATTTTATTTGAATTATTCAAATTATTATTATTCATTTATTTGTTTTATTTAAATTATCAATTGAATTATTTGTTTTATTTGTTTATTTGTTTTATTTGAATTATTTGTTTATTTGTCATATTTGAATTATCAAAATCATTAATTATTCATTTTATTCAAATAAACTTTCAATGTAATTCAAATACTCATTCATAACAAGTAAAACAAATAATTTGAATAAACTCTTATTCAAATAGAAACTCTAATCAAGCATTTAATTGTATGTAGTGATTTTAATTTAGTTTGCCAGATTTGGTGACTCCAATAACTCTGATCGCATGCTTGCAATATTTATTACAGTTTTACAACTTTAAGGTGTCAATACTGTTCAGGTAAAATTTTAGATAAATCTATTATATTAAAAACGTTAGGTTCACGTGAGCGTAACGTTTAGAATGGCGCCCACGCATAAATAAACGTAACGTTTAGGCTGCCACGCATAAATAACGTTTTTTGAATTGTTCAATAACGCAAATAAATATGTTGTGATGCGTGGCGTTTTAGACCACCACATGCAATCTATCTATTATTGTACGTTTAGACTACCACAAGCACGTAAATAAATATGTTGTGATGCGTAACTTTTAGGCTACCTCATGTAAATGATTTTTAAATTGATACAATAAAATCCCACAATAAAATATTTGATATTAATGCTATGAATTTACAGTATCAAATAATTTTGAATAAAAAAAGAATTTACAAGATTATTTATAGCGTGCTCTAGATGTAAACCGTCAGCGAAGCTGACGGGTTACACCTAGTTATTATTAATTATTTGTATAACGTCGTAATTTATTTAACTTATTTAAGAAAGAATCGTCTTGGGATATCCTCACAATTTTGGGATATCCTCGCAATCTTGGGATATCCACGCAATTTCGGGATAACTTCTCAATATTGAGAGAATATCTCAATTTTGGGATATTAGAATTACTAAATAATTCGAATTGTATATAAGGAGCTTGAATTCAATGTACTTGTAAAGTAACTTTTCTCATAAGTTAATTAGTTTCGACTAAGGAAAACTTCTGATAAGTTAATTAGTTTTGACTAAGAAAAACTAAATAAATAAAATAATAAATAAAATAATAAATAATTTATTTTATTTAAAACTTTTATCTTCTTTACCAAAATTATTCGCTAATCCAAAATCAATTCATTGATAACCTATTCATTCTGATCTACACATAAACAAAAATAATTGTTATCACCAATTACCAAATTTAATTGGTGACTATGCTATCTGCATAATCAATCAGATAATTAATATGTTGTGTGACAACAATGGGGCTGTGCAACAAGATGTTCTAGTAATTTCTAATTGTTTGATTGATTACTTATTTTCATCTCTGTATCTTTTAAAACACATCCAAAAAACAACATACTTAACAGTCATGTCCAAAGTACATGAATATTTCAAAAGTGCTTCCGAAGAATGGAACATCCAGGACTTTCTGGAGCAATATGATGTAGAACCTTTTGACCAGAAAATTGACTGTTACATTAAGAGTCTTGAGGCGATTGTTAATCATGGTGTAGGCAAGAGAAAAAAGGCACAATTTTTGCTCAATAGGTACAAGAAGGCAAGTATAGGGATTTTTTTATATTGAATTTTATGTTAAAGCATGTGTGACTTTCTAGCTCATTCTGTTCTTGATACTGGCCTTGTTAGGGCATGGGGACTTTCTAGGTCATCCCGTTCTGCATTCAAGCTTCTAGCTTACCTAACACTGGTCCTGTCAAGGTGCAGGCAATTTTCTAGATTGCTAGAGCAACTTTCTAGGTCGTTTTGTTCTGTGTCTAAAGGGTTTCTAGCCTGGTTCAGTGGATAGGAGTTTTTATTGAGAGCATTGTTCCTTTATACTAGGGCTATAAAAACAATTGTCAAATTGCTAGAAGTTGGAACAATGAAAGATCTCACAACAAGGTATATCTCACCAACTGACAATTACTGGTGAAAATATCAATGGGTTTGTAAATATGAGCAAAAATGGAAACATTCATTTCTGGATCATTTTTATCAAAAAAAGATCAAAAGGTACAGATTGCATTTTTTTATTTGCAAGTTGGGAGTCAGTAGAAATAGCTAATTTTACTATTGCCAAATCACAATAATGACTCTGTATTTCTATAGGAGTTGAATGACAAGACCAATAATTTCTTCTAAAATTCATCTGGACAAATGTCAACCAATATAATTGAAAATTTGGGAATTTGGAAATAGAAAGCAATGAAAAAGACAATTCTAACAAAATATTCAATGAGGAGGATGAGGTGTAGCCTTCAAATTAGAGCAGTTATTACAATGCTCTTGCTATTCATAGCAGTCAAGACCGAATAATTGTTAATTGGCATGATTCCTTTTTAGGCTGGGGACAATATAGATTTGGATTATGTATCTAAGTTGAAATTATTCACAAGTCAATCAACTGGTAGCACAAATTATGCAGATAAAACAATAGGTCCAAAGTTGGCTAATTTTACAAAAAAGCGTAATAAATCATTTGAAGAAACAGAAGAGGTGAAAGTATTTGTATAGTTATCAACTCACAACTGAGGAAATGTTAATTTTTTTAATGGTCTTTTTTTATTGTACCCTACAGCCTGACATATCAGAATATCAGGATGAGCCAACTGCCAAAAAAAAATAAGCAGAAGGAACCCAAATGTACATATGTATTGGAATGGGATTTATATGAGAATATGAAACAAATAGTTATGGTATGTACATATAGATGTGTGCATTATTAAAGAGTACTTATGCAACATGACTTTAAATTCTGTACAGGAGTGGACTATTGATGATACAAGCATAAGTGATGCATTTTTCAGTTTCAAGAATTTTGCTGAATCCCAAGCAGCTAGACATGAATTGAAATTCAAAGATAATCCTGGCGAAATTCTGTTAGTTGACATGTTATCTTTGTTTTTATTCAATGTATATATTAACAGTTAGAAATGTTAATGATGTTAATGTATTTGATTTATTAATGCCAGTGCTCTAAATTATATACTCCTTTTGGAGGAAATTCTGATTGTGTACAATTGGATCTTTCATCAGCTATTCACACAAAAATTTTGGAGCAAATGAAGGCAATTTACCCGAAATACAACTTACCAAAAGTGGTTGAAGAATTGTGTCATCAGTGTGCTCAAGTTGCCCGAAAATGAACTAGAGAGGCTTTAGAAGAAGAAATTGACAATGCCCATAATGATTTAAGAACGAATTTGAGTCCATCTGATAAAAAATCGTTGAGAACTAGTCAGAATATTTGGAATCACATGTAGATGTATTTCTTATTTTGGTATTTGATTGTTGTATTTCTCAAGTTACTAAAATAATTCAACACTGATCTAATTAGTGCAGAGAATTGGCAAACAAGTTTTGATAGTCCTCAAACAATAGAAGATACCCATGTACATCATGCAATGCATCCTTTTTTATGCCCATTTTCCCCCAATGGACCAGATAGGATGATTGATTGGTATTTCTACAGATTAGTACTAGTCATTCATGCTTTATTGAGCATTTAAATGCAATGTATTAATGTTATATCTGCTTGCCTTCTACAATAGGACAAACAAGATGTCATTTGTAAGTGCATATAGGTAAGGTTTGTATTCACAGATACCATAAGGAGGTCACACAGGGTCACACACCATTAAAATCAAGTGTTTTGTTGCTGTTTTAATAGTGTGTAACCCCCTTAACGGTATTCATGGCATCTGTGAATACAATCCATACATATAGGAAAACAAATGACAATGATGAAGGACATAAACCCGACTTCATGATCACAGTTAATAAAAGAAGTGGCAAATTTGAAGTTGTGTTTGGCCTATTCAAATTACCTTATAAAAGTAGCTCTCATTTCATGAATGTTGATCTAGTGGATCTAGGAGTGTTAATGAAAGATTCCACCAAAGAAGTAATCTTTGGAGATATAATAGTCATAAGAAATACAGAAGATACTGATTGGGAATTTGCAATATATTAATTTGTGTTATCATTATATTTGCTGCAAAAATATTTCATTCTTTTGTCTTGAAATTTTAAAAATATAATATATAATTATGATGTAATAATGTTGATGTCCAAAATACATGAATTTATAAATTGCTGAAATTGAGCCTTTTTTAAACTAGTTTAGAAATATTCAGAAAATTGAAAGGATCATCTTTCTTTGGTCGAAAGTAAGAAAGATTATTATTATCCTTCCAAACAATGACTAAATTTTGGACCCTGAAATTGTTAGTAATACCAATGTTCACTTTGTCTGGTTTTGTTGCAGCATGCCCCATATAATGCCATATATAGAATGTATTTGTTAGGAGAGTTTGAATTGTCAAAAAGCAATATTAGCCTGTGTTTAGTTGAAAATGTGTTACATGAAGTGGGAATTTGAAGGTAAATTTGATGGCTCTTTTGATATTATTGTTAGTTGCTAAACTACCAACTTCATGGTTTGCTATTTACCAATTGCAGAATTCATAAAAGAATATATTGAGAGGCTTCCATCATACATAACTAATAATGAGAACACTAAGACTCCAACTGAAAAGATGAGAATGACCAGGAGAATGATAGCAACTTCTTACAAGGTATATATTTTCATCATTTTTTATGTATCTGCTCATTTTCTTGTTTCAGTAATTTTTCATTACATTTTAGGTTGAGGGTTGAAGTTGACAATGTGCAATTAATAGCATACAATGCTTTTGTTGTTATCGATATACAGTGAACCTTCCATAAGTGCTCCCCCTTGAGAATGGATGAGAGCATGCATTTATGGAGGGATGCATTTATGGAGGGGAATAATTTTATTGGTTGCACATGATACTAATAAAAATTATAGTTGTACAATGTTAAATATTTTTTATTATCCCCTAAACAGTTAATTGGCTATTGATAGCTGATAAAATTTTTCTGATATAAAAAATTTTTTCTGAGGGCATCACTTTCTAATACAAAAATGATCTTTGGGATTCAGCCAATTAATCTATAAATAAAAATCCAGTTGTTGTCCTTGTGGTTTTTGTAAAATCTTCTTTAAAAGTTGGTTGATTGGCTGTTTTTACTTTGCTGATCGTTAAATTGACCAATAAGAATGATCAAAACTTTAATTTGTGATACCATTAAAGAATACTCTAACCGTTTAAGAGATAGTGCAGGACATAATCTATAACAGCTAGGGGTTGGGGGGTTCAATACAAATGTTACACGCTATGATTTCGCAAAACCAAAACTGTCCTCCCTCGAAATTCATAAAATTCAAAATTTTATATAACAAAATAACGTTT